ATAAGAAGGTCCCGAATGGGGCCGTTACGCTGGTTACGCCGAAGGTGGACGCTGCTGTGAGTGCATCCCTTTCACCTCTCGGGTCGGTTTGCCTATTCTCGGGCTATTCTGTGCTTATTCTCTCGTTGTCATCTCCTGTTCTTGTTTCGTTCGTTGCTACGTTTCCTTCACTGTTTACCAGTTCTTGTCTCGTTGTTTGCTTGTTTTCACGTCGGACTGAACCTTCTCTCGACTGGACCTTCTTCTCCACCGAACCTTCGTCTTTTGGACCTTCCTCATGGTTGGTCCTGTTTCTCGTTCTCGCGTTGCACTGTATCTCCTCGTTCCCTGCCTTCTCTGCAATCTTGATCCTGTCTTCGTGCATACATGCAGTATAACCCGCGACTCTCTCCTCGTCCTTCAGCGTTTGGTCGATGTTCTGGTGTCTTGCGTTGACACAGGGAGCACAAGCTGCGGCCTACGCACTGCGTAGGACTCTGGGGCCTGATCAGCATCTCCGTGTGGCTCCTTCCGCTCCCTCGTGAGTAGACAAAGGCGCCTTTGTTGACACCTTTGTTTGCGTGCTGTGTCTGATCCGGGTTGTGTGTTAAGCTCTGAGTCCAAAGCAAAACGTTGGCCGCAGCTTGTGCCCCCTGTGTGATGCTTTCCGTTCTTGTTCAGGCTCTGATTCATGGTCTTCTTTCACCACCTGGATGCGTTTGTTTGTGCTCCCCTTCGTTTGTGTGCCTCGTCATAATCTACCTATTCTTTCGTTTCTTGCCTGCTCCCACGTCGGCTTTCTTCTCGACCGGACCTCCTTGATAGGACCCTTCCTTGTTCTCAATTCTGCACTACACCTCCTCGTCCCCGTCCCCTGCTTTGTCTACTGTTTTGCTTCGTTTCCGTGCATATTTGTAGTATACTTCGCGCTTTCGTGTTCGTTCTCCAGCGTTTGGACGATGTTCTTGGGATCTCGGCTGGATCGCTGGTTTTCTTTCGTGTTTATCTTGTTCATGTGCCTATCCCATTCGTGTTCCTCTTCTGCTCGTGTTCCTCTTCTGCTCGTGTTCCTCTTCTGCTCGTGTTCCTCTTCTGCTCGTGTTCCTCTTCTGCTCGTGTTCCTCTTCTGCTCGTGTCCATTTTCCTCTTCTGCTGGTGTTTGTGTTCCTCTCCCGTTCATGTTTTTCTTCTGTTCGTGTGCGGACCTGCTCTTCCCTTGTTCAGTCTGTCGTTTGTCTCGCCATCTCTCGTTTCATCTCTCGCTAATTTTGATCCCTTATCCGGCCGTCTCCCTTGGTTTCGCCAAAATTCTTTCGTATTGCGTTCTGTTCCTTTGCTCTCCGCTCCCTCTTCTCTCACTCGTCACTTTCTCTTGTCTTTTCTCACTGTCTCTTCCCGCTCCTCACTCTCTTTTGGCGTTCCTCGTTCCTCTTCCCAGGTTCGCTTCTTGCTCTTCTCATTTTTCATCCTTGCGCCGGCCTTTTCTCCTTCTTCTCTGTGATGGATATATCTTACCCTGCCTAGTCTCTGGGTTTGTGCTCGACGATTTCCACGCTGGCTTTCTGTCTTCCCTCCGTCCTGTCTTCAAGTTGTCCTTCTGCTTGTCGTGATCCAATCTAACATTTTCAGTATCTCATGCCCCATTCATCCGTTGCTTCTTTTCTTCCACCTTTCTGGCTTTTGCCTCTACAATATCCCTTCCGCATGAAGCAAATATTAATTTACCCTTTCCGCAGGCCTCCTTCCGCGACCCACACGGCTTGACGAGAGGATATTTGTACCTCTCTGACCTCGTAAAGCGCGCGCCGACGCACATGATCTTTGGGAAGATTGGGGATTCGTTGTATGTGTCTCTTCTGCTTCTTCTTGTCTTCTTAATTTTTTTTTGCGTGTTCTTCTTCTTCGCGTCGTAGTTCTTTGGGGTTGTGCCAGGCTTGAGGATCGAATTTCTTGATTCTCTCGCATGCCGTGGTGTGGCCGTGAATGATTCTGTGAGCGTGGGACTCTCTGCTTTTCCTCGTTCGCGTAGTCTTGCGATGCTCTCTGTTTTGGGACTCGGAGGGAGTGTTGTCATTTTCCATTTCGCGATCGACCTCCTGTCGAGCTCTTTTTCTTCTGTGGGTCTCCGCAGGCATACTACGTTTTCTCAAACGCTCGTCGAGTAATCAAGGACGTTACTTTTTCTTTTGTTCTTGGTGCCTTCAACGATGGCATGCGTAATTTCCAGCTTTCGGACTCTTCTCTCTTTGGCCTCGATCGCTTGCTCTCTGTTTTTTCCGTCTCGAATCCAACGCATGGCTGACACCTCTTTTTCTATTGACAGGCCTAACTTCATCCGGGACGACGTCATCAACGTAGCGAGCGGCGGGAAGGATAAGTTGGCTTCTGTCAAGCTCGTCGAGGGCGCGGGTCATTTGGTGAGTACTTATTTACTGGATGGGCGGAATTCCGGAGGGAAAGAGGGAGTGGCCGAATGTATGGATGGGTATCCCCGGCACGCAGCCTTCACACTCTTCCCTCAATTTGAATCCCGGCCGCTCCATCGCAGTTCAACCCCGCTAATACATCTCTCTGTTTTCCAGGTCACGGTTACGCATCCCAAAGAACTAGCAAGCTCGATATTCGATGCGTTGCAGATCACAGGCGCTAGTCTGCCACCGAGTGCGACGAAGTCAGAGTCATCAAAGTCAAAGATGTGATTGGGCAAGGGAACTTTTAAGCTGGGTGCCGGTCGCTTTTGCATGTTCTCTGACTCGTTGGGTATGCCCCACTGTGCTTGTTCGATTCAGCCCTTCCGATACGGTGTAGTATGTATAATTTTCGGATGCGAATCACATCTGCTAAATACACCTTGACCTCGAGCGCGTCGTGTAGTCTTTCCTACGTGTAGCGTACAGTGTCCATGCACGGGGCAACACATCTGAACGTCCGAGTGACAAGTGGATAACGATTACGGGAGTGGAAGTCAGTTGAAGTGTACATTAATCAGTGCAGCGTCTTGAGTTCTGTGGAAGCTGTTCAGAATTTGGTCAACCCGGCCTGGGAAGGCCAAAAACGAACCTTGAGAAACTTATAATGGAGCTGAGGCCTGCGCCTCAACTTCACACTCGTTCTCTACGCGCGTTCGAGCCACGTTCATCTCTAATGCGTCTCGACGTCAAACCACGGTGCATCATCTGGCTCTTATCATAAGGAGGGGGTACAGCCCCCGCATAGTCCGTGTATGCGTCCGCATTCGAGTCAGTACCAAAGTCAGAGAAAGGGACTGTGAACCGTCGCTCGCGGCCCGACAAAGATCTAGACTGTCCAGAGCGCTGACTTCTCCCCAGAATCTGAATATCAGAGCGCGACGAGCTGGAGCCCACCGACGAGAAACCGCGACTTGACAACCAGTCTGACCATCCGAGTCCACGACGCTTCATGTAGATGATCATCCCTGCTGCGATTAGGATAAGGACTACGAGAACTGAGATGATAGGTGCGACCATGAGGACGGTGTTGGTGCTGCTGCGTGTTTCTTCTGCGGATTCTGGGATCGGGGATGAGGTTGGCGTTTCGGATTCGGATGAGCTGGTGGATAAAAAGGTGGTCGCGTTCTCTGACACAGTACTTGGAGGTTCTGGTTCGCCATCGTCGAAGCTACATAAGTCGAAGAGCATGAGAAAGTGATCCCGCACTGGAGAAATGTAAAGAGACTGACGACACCACAAACGAATCCACCAAAATCGTAGATTGAACCACCCGCCCATCATCAGCCGGTAGCACCAAACCAGACTGCACGAGAAGCTCATGATCCCCGTTAACCCTCTCCTCCTGGGCACTCGATCGAAAAACATTATAATTTTACAGCCAGCCGTCTGCGCCGTAAGACCCTGAATATCGTACGTGCTGGGCGATTTTCACGCCGTCGACGAAGAATTGGATGGCGGAATCTGGGAATCGGGTAGGGGACGATTAGTCGACTAATTTGTAGCCGGGTTCGATTATGGCTATGGATATTGCTGTGCCTGAGACGCAGGATGGAGGACTTTGTTAGTGATGCTAGGTAGAATGGAGGTGAGCGGTAGGGGATCTGACCTGTGGAAGCTGGGACTGGCGTTGTTGAACCCAGCTTGAGATGTCAGTCAGGTTGTCGATGCCTGTGTTGTCGTGCGATGTGCCCTGAAGAATAGCATACAAATCATTCAGACCCATGTACAAGCTCGCAGCTGGAGAATGAATGACACGACGAACCTGATACACCTGGCTGGTATCTATCGTAAATGGGCGATATGCAACCTGCGAGCACTGGGGGGAAGTATTAGTTTGTCCCGCCGTCCAGCCGACACCGGTGTACAACACTCGGGTGTCTGAGTCATCGATGATCTCGTTCACTAGCTTGCAGCTCGCCGAAGATAGAACACTGCAAACGAGGAGCACGATAGTCGTGTTCCTTCCACGCTTATTGGCGGTGGAAGAAGGTGGAGATCGACGTCGAATCATGAAAAGAACGATGGCATGGGGATAAGATGAGCCTTCAAACAGCCTCAATGTGATAGAATCCTGTTCATTGGCGCCTTAGTACTGTGAGGAGCAACCAAAGTCATGATGGATGCGGTGTGGACTGAAGGACCGTGACAGTGAGCGCAGAGAAAAGGATCAGATGGGAACTTTGCTTCTGCCCGATGTTTCTTGCCCAGTTGCAAGTACTCGCCACAGCTCAACTTCATCAAGAACGCAGCTAGCACTTAGAGGTCGAAAAAATTTCACAATCGATGCCAATGCTCGCGCGCCCTGTCGAGCTCAACTTGCCTCAAGTCTTCCATCTTGCTCCAAGGTTAAGTGCAGCTGCAAAACCCTCGATATAGTGGAATAGAAGTATTACCTGGAGGCTCGGTCGGAAATCCTCGCCTGATTTTTTCCGCTTCTCGCCGGCCGAGTTTCGCCCACCAGTGTCTACAGTCTACGACTCTACAGTCTGACTGACTCTGACTGCGACAAGCAACAAAAAGAAGAGCAATTGCAATCCATCGCTGTTTCACAACCTACGGTGGGGATCGAACCCACAATCTTCGCCTTAGGAAAGCGACGCCTTGCCGTTTGGCCACGCAGGCGATGAGTGCCCTCACATGTTGCAATATAGAACATGACTTTTTTCTTCGTCCAGTTTCAACCGCGAACGTTGCACTGCAGCCTCCTACCCAGGCAACGTGGGAGCATGAGAGGAAATGCAAAGAGTAAGTAGGTAAGAGGAGGAGTAGTATAGATAATTATATGTTGCCCAATATATTTCCTAATAAGTAACTGCAGCCTCTCCATTCCCTAGGGCGCCTGGCATAAAACATATACAAGCAAACACGCCACACTAGTGCCACACCTCAGTTTTAGGTGCCGTGGATAAGATCACAGTGTGAAGATAAGACAGGCAACCGTGTTCTCATCTGCTTTGTTCCTCATGCCTGACAATGCAAGGCTACAGGACGCTATAAACTTCCTTTTCATACACGACATATCTGTAAGACCCCAGGGATGATCTGCAAGGCAGCACGCCAAGTAGTCTAGTAACAAAGATGAATAATGAGCACAATGAGGCTGTGTGCATGCGTACCTAGTAACAAAGTGGATAAAACTAAAGAGAAACATCACATGATGGTTGCCAGCTCATAACCCGTGCACATGCCTCTAACAGCACATGATCAATGCGCGGGCCGGCACCATCAACGCGCGCCACTCCTCAGCCATCCACTGCCGCTACATTTACTCTACAAGGCTAAGTACGCCATGTATTGTAACAGATCTCATGCACATTGGCAAGAACATCTTCCCTCAACTTGTCAACTTATGGACAGGAAACTACAAAGATTTGAACGCCGGATTGCGGAGCTACACTCTTGGGAGCACAGTCTTTCAGGCCATTGGCAAAGCTTGCGCGTTCTCTGGCAACACAATCCCTTCTGCCTTTGGTGCTCATGTTCCCAACATTGCCACGGAGCGCCATAAATTCATTGCAGAGACATGGTTCCTCTTTGCTACAATGATTGCCCCCACGGTCCTCTACAATCGCTTCCAAAGGCCGCTCTACTATCAGCATTTTGTTGAGCTTGTGACCATCTTCAACATCTGCCTCCTCTACAAACTCACACCCACAGATATTGACGAACTGGAGCAATGCATTGTGCGCTGGGTGGAGAAGTATGAGAAGTACAATGATTTCACTGTTTTTTAATGAACACTGTATTCTAACAAATCTTGTTTGCTTTACCAGGATCTACTACCAGCACAAATTGTCTCACGCACGTGCCTGCACCCTTCCCATCCACGCACTCCTCCATCTTCCCAGGAATATCCAAATGATGGGGCGTCTTTGGGTGTATTGATGCTTTGTCATTGAGCAGTACTGTGGTGCAATGGTTTGTGCTGTCAAGAGTTGGAAGCACCCGTTTGCAAGCCTGGCACATTGCATTCACAATGTTGCGCGGAATGATCAGATAAAGCTAATCTATCAGCTGCAGGATGAGCTCAATGTGATGGATCGTTAGAAGGACATGCGTAGTGGGGAGACGTTCACAACTTGTGAGTACATTCCTTGTCCTCCCGTGTTAATCAGCCTACCAACCGCTCCATAGACCCTGGCCTCTACATGAGCCCACCAAAGCTTGTGGAACCGCTGCCCGTGTCATATTCGAACAAGATCATTGCACACATTTGCACCAACTACGACATCACCAAACTGCTCGCAAGACAGCTTATTACCAGCTCTGATCCCACCCAATGGGATTGACAAGCTCACAAACACAGCAACACAGTCATTGCAAGTGAGCTTGTGAAAGCGTACTATAGGAATGGTGTCCATGATTGGCGCAATGCTTTTTATATTGAGTTGAGGTTCACATGTTTATACTGCTTACCTTGGCTTAATTGCCACGGGTTTCATACTCCTCCTAGTTTGTTCAAGAGGTTTACACACTTGCGCATTGCCCCGGTCCTTCTTGTTACAATACATAACATACTTAGCCTTGTAGAGTAGATGTAGCGGCAGTGGATGGCTGAAGAGTGGCGCGCGTTGATGGTGGCGGCCCGCGCGTCGAGCACGTGCGCGGGTTACGTGTTGCCAACCATCACGTGATGCTGCTCTTTAGTTTTATCCACTTTGTTACTAGGTACGCATGCACACAGCCTCATTGTGCTCATTATTCATCTTTGTTACTAGACTACTTGGCGTGCTGCCTTGCAGATCATCCCCAGGGTCTTACACTTCTTGCTTTGAGGAGAGATCATGTTTTGGTAAAGTTCTCAGATTTGTTGGTGTTAAACTCCCAAACAGTGTCCACTCCAAGGATGATGACAAATATGAGGAAGAATGGCATGGATGCTTGTCAGAACAGGCTGGACCAAGCTCTCCTACGATCCTCATGGCCGTTGTTCATCTGTCTAAGCCAATGCGGATTGACAAGCGGCTAAATACTGCTTATGCAAAGGAAAATGAAGCGGTATCAGTGATAGATATGAGCTGTATCCATGGACTTGTGGGGAGATTTGAAGAAAGAGGGCGTACGGCGTCTGTAAAGCGTCCCAACTCTGTAGATAGGTGCCTGGTGTGGAAGAGTACTTAGAAATGTCGCTAACGTACAAGTGTATATCAATAAACAAGAATTTCCCCAAAATCTCTGGTCACCCAGACACTTGAGTGAATGTCCAAGTGGTATCCTGAATTTCCCCGTTCAGTCAAAACCACGGTCCACAAGAGTTGGGGGAACATCTGTGTCTGCCGAGTGTTGGGCAAAAGTCACCCCAACAAGTCTTCACAGTGGCCAGCATCTTAACTCAATATTACGCCAAGGAACCTGATCTTCTGGGCCTCCAAGCAGTTCCAGCTTGAAGCCAAACTTACTGCGCAAGCACAACAGATCTCCCTCCGCATCCATCTTTGTATGGGCATGGCGCCATCTCCAGGCTGCTTGTCTCGACTTGGCTACAGGATCGATTGTAGTCTTCTTGTCCGCAGAGCTCTTCCGAGCGCTGCCTGGGCTTGGGCTTGCTAGAGCTCATGGTAACGTTCCTCTCTTTCCTGGACTTCTCTTGCGTCTGCGCCTGCGTCCAGAGCCAGCTAAATTTGGAACACGAACTAGCATCATACCTACAAC